AAAGAATGTGAGAATAGGGAATATTTCTCTAGAATGTTGGTAGTTCATTAAGGTATTTAAAGTGGTTGTTTGATTGTTTCTTAATTACTGTGTAATAAACCATATTCTACAGAAGACTGGCTTTATTCTACTACATTTTATTCTTATGATGCTCTTGATGTTATTTCTTGCATCCAAGGCTGGCTTTATGAGCTGGAATCTAGGTAGTCACATGACTCTGAATTTGGAAGGCCATAATCTTGGCTTAATATAGTTTAATGTTCAGCTATTGCCATTTTTTAATTAATTTAATTTTTTTCTTTTTTATATTTTATTTTTTGTCTTTGATAAATATTTATTGAATGAATTCATATGGCTTGCCAGGCCTTGCAGTAGGCACTAGAAATATAAAAATGAGTAAGCTCAGAGTCCTTTATGGAAAAGGTCTTTCTAGGAGAGAAGACACAAAGATGGGTAGTTACAGTAGAACTTAGTGAGTAAAACTGTAGAGAATTAGAGACAAGTTGTAAATGCTCATAAATATTTTTCACCAAATTATGTTCATACTATTCATTTATGTGATAAATACTTTATACTATATAATGTCTACAACCACTATAAATTTCAAACATAGACTGTGACTTAATGATAGCTTACTGTAGAACAATAAAATAGGATCTATTTGTTCATTTTTCTATATCAAAGTTGTTGAGGGGAATCATATGCAGTTATAGAAACCACTTAATAAATATTAGATAACACTAAGATATGGCATAGTAAACTTGGCATGGTGATGCACATCAGTTATCCAATACTAAGAAACCTGAGGCAGGAATATTTCTAGTTCAAGGCCAGACAGAGCAACATAGCCAGTTCAAGTCTAGACTGGGGTGCACAGTGAGACTCTTTCTCAAGAAAGGAGAAAACAGAGCAAGGTTAGTTGAGTTTTAATAATAGAGAGAGCAGGAGCTGGATGTTTCTATGAAAATCAGTTCAAACCAGAAAATTAAGCCACCCCCAAACCCGTGCAAACCATGTTCCCAGACTGAGTTGAACATTTTATTACCTTTGTTTTCTTCAAATGATAGTGAAATTGACTGTTGTAAGTTACTGGCATCACATTGTTGAATTAGTGATTCAGAATAGTAATACTTTTTACCAGTACTAATACTGCTAATAATAATAATGTTCTCTACCAAAGCTAAGAACTATACTGGCTTAGAGACATAATCTTTTTTATTGTTTGAGAATTTCATAAATGCATATAATGTGTTTTGGTCAAATCTACTTCCATTTCTTCCCCTCTAATTCCTCCCCTATCTTTCCCCCCCCTTCCGTCCCAACTTCATGTGTTCTTTTCTAAAAACCCACTAAGTCCACTTAGCATTGCCTGTATGTATGTACATGGGTGTAGGATCATCTAATGGAGCCTGGGTAAGGAGCCTCTCAGGGACACACTCCTAAAGAAAACTGATTCCCCATCTCCCAACAGCTGTCAGTTGCCAGTATCATCTCAGTTAGGTGTGGGACTTTGTGACCTTTTCTCCATCTGTGCTGGGATTTTTGTCTGGCGTGATCTTGCCCAGGTCTTGTACATTCAGTTACAGATATCCGTAAATGGGGGCGCCCACTCCTCTGTAAATAAACCCCCACCCTATGCTCTGTGAAAAAAAATAAAATGAAAATGATGGGTGCTTGGATAGATAGATAAGGGGGATTTGACTAGACTGTAAGTGGATAGACTTGCACTGGGGAACATCTGACTTGACACAGTGGACAGAGTATATGGATTCCAGTTGGGGGGCTATGGGAGGGTTCTGGTGGGGATGAGGCTACAAAGATGATTCAGATTGCTTGAGATATTCTGTATGAAATACAAAAAAAATTTAAACTTTTTAAACTTTTTATTTATTATTTTTATTTTATGTGTATACATGTATAGCCTGCAAATAGGTAAGTGCACACATGTTGTGCAGTTGCCCATGGAGGTCAGAAGAGGCTGTCGGATCCCCTGGGACTGGAGTTATGGACAGTTGTTAGCTGCCATGTGGATGCTGGGATTCGAACCCAGGTCTTCTGCAAGAACAACCAGTGTTCTTAACTGCTGAGCCATCTCTCCAGCCCCTAAAGACAACAAAATTTAATAAAAAATATTTTAATAAAACCACAAACAGCAAGAAGCAAGAACATCTAAACTGTGGCTGCTATAATAACTTAACCTATAGACATAAACACAAATGCTTGCATAGTACTTTAGCAGGTGCATCACATCCATCTAACAAAACAATTACAGTGGCTTTCCCACTGGGACCTCTATCCTCCCCTGCCACAGAGGGTTGGCCTGGTCTACAGTACCAGATGTGTGTTCCACCTCTAGGAGTGGGCATTATAGCCAATCGAAAATTTGCTAGTTATACATACCCTAGATAAACCACTATTGCACCAGCTAGAATATCTTGTTTGGCATGTTGATAGTGCAGCACGTGGGGTCCATCATTATTATAGGGGATAGTTTTCCCCCAGCCATCTGCATATCATCTTCTGGCACTATGAAAGCCACCCATCCAGTGACAGGGAGTTTCCAGCTTAGCTCAAGCTTGTTTTCACCCCCTCTGTGCTCACATCATGTAGTGTCTTCAACAATACGGTTTTACTGTCCACTTCTGGTGTACAACCAACATTATTGGCAATGGCCTTTATTGTTTTGGGGACCTCTAGGGCTCTGGCCAACAGCTCATGGGGGACAACTCACCTCCGGCACTGGGAGTTTCATTTAATAACTGTATGGTTTCTAGTAGGGCTTTCTTCCATCTCCATAGGGTTCCTTCTGTGCTTAAGGCTTTTATCTTCTTACTGTGTATTGAGAGAATTTTTTCCTCTTTATTCTCATGGTTCTTCGTATAGCCCTCCTTCCTTCCTTCCTTCCCCTTTAACTACTCCCTTTTAGAATTTCCCCCTTAGTAACACCTTTCTCCTACTGTTCTTCTCTCTCAGGTTCCTTCTTTCCCTTTACCTCCCTGGTTCCCTTCCATATTCCTGGTTCCTGCAGTTACATCAGGATATGCAGTCACCTATAAGGATTTGGTGCTAGGGCCCATATATGAGGGAGAACATATGTCACTTATTTTTCTGAGTCTGTGTTACTTCACTTAGTATAACAGTTTCTAGATCCATCCATTTACCTGCAAATTTCATTATTACATCTTTCTTTACTGCTGAATAAAACTTCATTTTCATTAACCACTCATCTGTTGGGGGGCATTAGGTTGCTTCCATCTCTTAGCTATTGTGAAAAAAGCAGCAACAAACATGGTGTACAAGTATCTCTGCAATAGGGTGAGTCCTTTGGATATATGCCAAGGAATAGTGTAACTGGGTTGTGTGGTAGGTTCATTTTTAGTTTTTTAAGAGTTCTCCACACTGCTTTCCATAGGGATTGCATGAGTTTACAATCCCACCAGCAGTGAATGAGCATTTTCCTTTCTCCACATCCTCGCCAGCATTTGGATCATTTGTTCTCTTGATCTTAGCCAATCTGACTGGGGTAAGGTGAAATCTTAAGGTGGTTTTAATTTGCATTCCCCAAATTACTAAAGATGTTGAACACGTCTTGAGCTGTTTCTTAGCCATCTTTATTTCTTCCTTTGAGAACTCTCTGTTTAGATCTCTAGAACATCTTTCAATGGGGTCATTTGTTTTCTTGCTTTGTTTTTTGAGTTCTTTATATAGTCTGGATGTTAAACCTCTGTCAGATGTGTCACTGCTGAAGATTTTTTCCCACTCTGTGGGTTTTCTCTTCACTTTCTTGATTGTTTCTTTTGCTGTACAGAAACTTTTTAGTTTAATGAGGTCCTACTTGTTGATTGTTGACCTTAATTCCTAAGCAACTGGTGTCCTATTTAGAAAGTCCTTTCCTTCACCTATATCTTATGGGTTACTGCCAATTTTATGTGTGAGCATATGTAAATGCACCTGGGTCATGCAATGCCTACAGAGGTCAGAAGAGGGCATCCAACCCCTCAAACTGGAACTACAGTCAGTCAGTCAGTCAGTCAGTTAGTTGCAATGTGGGTGCTGGGAACTGAACCTGGGTCCTAGCAAGAGCAGCCAGTGCTCTTAACCATTAAGTCATCTCTCGAGCCCCCAAATTTTAATGTTTTACATTTTTTTATTGTGTGTGCTCTCCCTCACACATAGCATGCTCATTTCATGGCATTTGTGTGGTGGTCAGAGGACAACTTGCTGAAGTCAAAGTCAGTTCTGTCCTTTCACCATGTGGGTTCCAGCAATAGGACTGTGGTGTCAGGCTTGGCAACAGGTGCCTTTATTAAGTGAGCTTGTCGGCCCTGATCCCACGATTTCATTTTGTAGTGGGGTCCATAAATTATCTGGCTACCCTGATTGTATCTGAATAGCAGAAATACTCTCTAAACATACGCCACTATGCATATCTTCCCAATTCAGGGTTCCATGCCCTCATATTGGCCACTTGAAATGGCCCATGGTAAAAGTTTGTATGCCCTAGACATCTGGATTAGCCACAGTCACAAAACATTCATAGTGCAGCTGGATAGGCCGCACTATGTGGGTATTGTGGTCATACACTTCCTTGGCCCGCACTGTAGCTCCTGATAATATTCCAGAATGGGGCCAGACTGGTGGCCTGCCTTCAGTCCTAGCACTCAGGAGGCAGGTGAATCTCTAGCTCTGTGAATTTGAGGCCAGCCTGGTCTACATAGCAAATTCCAGTCTAACTAGAGCTACGTAGTGAAACTCTGTCAAGAGAGTGAGAGGGGAGAGAGAGAGAGAGAGAGAGAGAGAGAGAGAGAGAGAGAGAGAGCGAGAATTACAGTGGAAAAGCGTGTCTTTTCCATAAGAGTCTATAATTTATTAGTGACAAAGAATAGAAATAATTACCTCAGCCTGGGCACTATTTTAAAATCTAAATTTATATCTTCCACAATTGGAAAGTGTCACACTTCAACTATGACACCCCAGTAGGGTATAAGAAGCCTGCCTGAAGTCAGACACACATCAGCCGGTGGAAATCGGGGAGCTCTCCAGCCTCTTCACTCCTGGCCTGAGCTGCCCCTCCCAACGCTGTTCCTCCACCGCAGGGACGCCCTGGGCTCACCACAGAAGGGGGCTGGGTGATCTTCCCTAGCTCCTGGCTGGAGAAAGCTGCGAGCCGGCTCCCCGCCCTCCCCGAGACTGCCGGTGCACCACGAGCACAAAGAATGGAGTCCTCCTGGCTGGAGACGCGCTGGGCGCGGCCCTTGCACCTGGCATTTGTGTTCTGCCTGGCCCTGGGGCTGCTGCAGGCCATCAAACTCTACCTGCGGAGACAGCGGCTGTTGCGGGACCTGCGCCCCTTCCCGGCGCCGCCCACCCACTGGTTCCTGGGCCACCAGAAGGTAGAATGCGAGGGAGGAGGGGCGGCGGAGGGGGAGGTTGCGGAGGAGGAGGTTGCAGAGGAAGCGGGTGGCAGCCAGGCGGCTGCTTCCAGTGCTTCCTAGCTGACCTCATTCCTGCTCGGATCTCCCAGACCAGCCTGTGGCTCAGCACAGCAACCCTATAGATATTCCCTCAGCCCCAGGGGAGGGTCAGTAGAGAGGAAGGAGGAGGGGTGCTGGCAGGGCATTATTTAAGGGGCATGAATGTGTCGGCTCTGTCTCCGATTGCCGCACCCATCTCTACCATAATTGCACTGCATTATGTAATGCCTTTCGTGTGTGTTGTCTAAAGAACAGTGTTGTTCTAAGTCATGCTTATTAGTTGCAGAAAATGTGCAAAATTGAACACAGTAGTTAACACCTCGGATCCATTCTAATCTGAGAAAATTAATGTTCTTTTTCTAAGGTTCATTGCGGGCAGAAAGCAGCCGCAGCCGACTGTTACTGGAATACTGGTTGAGGGAGGTTTGTTGAGTCCAGGGAGATAATGCTTGTTTGGTCTCTCCTGTTCTCCAAATCCACTTCCAAACCTGATTCAATGACCGATTGTGAGTGTCTAGGTTCTAGGACTACAAAGGGAGTCTCTGGCCCAAGGGGCTCAAGTCAGGACAGGCTTAAGGCACAAGAGAAAGTGAGAGTCCAGGGAAAGAAGAACGATGATGCTTCGGAGGAGCCTCACAGAAGAGACAATAGTGAAGGGCTGCACAGAATCTTCAGGGGTGGCTGGGCTGGCAAGCCTGAGCTGGCAAGCATGGACTGACCCTTTGACTCCTCTCCCTCCTAGACCTTCTTCCCTAAAGCATCCACATTGAACTATTTTCTTTTAATAGATTGCATATATAGAATTCCATTGATTTTACCTCTTAGTTTTGTTAGCTATGAGCTGATCATATTTAATGTATACCATGATAAATTTTTCTGATTTTATTTTAATTTTTTAATATTTAGTTCCTTAGGAACTTCATACAATATATTTTTATCATTTTCAGACCCCCTCCTCCATCTCTAATAACCCTACCCTAATCACTCCCCTACTTCATGTCCTCTACCATTATCTTTTTAAAAAATAGGAACTGTGGAATTTGTCTAGGCAAGATATCTTTCTTTTTTAAAGGCCTATCTCTATAATTTGTATTCCCCAAATGCTCCTAGGTGTGGGTCCATCACCTGGAGCCTAGTCAGCCTACCCAGCATCACACACTTAAAGAAAACTGACTCTCCCTCTTCCAGCAGCTACCAGTTGCCAACAGATCCTCAGGAAGGACTGGAGACTTTTGCCCACCTTCCCTTTCCATGCTGGGTTTTTGTCTGGCTTGGGCTTGCACATGACTTGTGCATGTTGTCATCGATTTTATTAACTTAATAATTTCAGACATCCATATATAAACTTCTTTATAGCAGATAGTAGATACTTCCTCTTCCACTGTTGGGTCTGGAGAGATGGCTCAGTGGTTAAGAGCACTGACTGCTCTTACGGAGGACTGGGGTCCAATTCCGATCACCCAACATGGCAGGTAACAACCACATGTAACTCCAGTTCCAGATGATCTGATGCTCTCTTCTGGCCTCCATGGGCATTGCATATCATGGGCGCTTACATACAGACAAACAGAACACTCATAGTCATAAAATAAAAATAATCAGAAAAAAAATAAAGAAAATTACTATTGATGTGATTTTTAGTCATGTAAATGTTATTTGCTTCCTTTCTAAACAGTCTCCACTGGCTCTGTGCTTTCTTCCTAGAGCTCCCACCCTCATGGTGTGGCTAACTTTCTCCTTTTCCTATTTGCTTTGTTTTTCGATCCCTGACACTACATTTTTTGCCAAATGGCTTCAAAAGGTCTTTCAAATATACCTCAGTGTTTGCAGATACTCAGTGCATGTGTTCTTCGGAGACTGTTTTCCCACCTTCCTTCCAATTCCAGTCCATTTAGGCCGAGAACACAGATGATGCACTGGGATTTTGCATTGACACTATCCTGTGCCACAACTCCTAGAACTATGTCTTCGGTTTCCCATTTATCATTTTTATGGATAGCTTCCTGTGAGTGAGTGTAAGAAGGTCAGGTGAAGTTTTTGAGCTCTTGAATGGCTGAAATGTCTTTATTGTAGCTTGGAACTTGAATGGAATTCAGGCTGGAGTAGAGTTCTTTAGAATTTTGAAGGTTTTTCTGTTTGATGGTCCCTGGCTTCCAGGGTGGCTGGTGATAATTCTGATACTTATTGATTCTTTTGGGATTTTTTTATTGAGCTTTTTAATTTCATACATTTCCCATTCAAATCCAGATCCCCTCCCCCATTCATTCTTCCCCCATCCCCCCACTGAACCTTATGCACTCTGCCATACATGATGAGTACTATTCATTCAGGTCTTTGTACCCAAATGTCCTTCAGTGTAAATGCATCCACTGGAGTCTAGTCAGCCCATCCAGTGGTCCTATGTAAGTCATACTGTCCCTCACCCAGCAGGTGCACATGAGAAAGCCTCTAGTGCTCTGGAAGCCTCCACCTCCCTGTGTTCATGAACCAGCCCTGGCTCTTACAATCCTTCTGCCTCCTCTTCCACAATGGTCTCTGAGCTGTGGGTGGGTGAGGTTCCATATAGGAGTCCCATCCTACATGCTACAAGCTCCCATTCTCCAAGACTTGGCCAGTTGTGGCCTTCTGTGTGCATCACATTCTGATGTACAAGGAAACTTCACTGGTAAGAGCTGAGAAGTGCATTAACCCTCTCTCTACCCCTTATTCTGCTATGTTCCATGAGCCTTAGTTGTAGAGATTCAACTGCAGGATGTGTCACCTAGTACTAGGCATCTCCCAGACATACGGCCTCTGTGCCTGACCAGATGTGCAAGTCTGCAGTAGCCTCCATCTGTTGCAAAAAGAAGTTTCTTTGGTAAGTGCTGTATGGTATGCTTGTCACTCTAAGGAAGGTCTCTTCTATCTGGCACTGCATTCCCTGTCAAGCAGCTCCCAGGTATACATACTCATGTTCAGACACTCTATGTGCATTTCTCATATGGTTTCTAGGACATCACTTTTCCCTCTAGGTTTCCTGCGCCCTGAGATTCACTCATCTCCACTCTTTTTTCTCCCATCAGGCTTCCTTCCTCCCTCCCTTCCAAATCATAGCGCCCCCATTATCTCTACCTTCCCCCCAATATCTCCTGACTCCTGCCATCTTTCTGCTCCTGATTTCCCTCCCTCCCCCAAATATCATGGTCCCTTCCGTGTCCCTCCCTCCTCTCCTCCCTGCTGATTACTCTCACTTTTTCCACCTCCCTCAGGTAACATCTATTCTCTGCTATCCCCCTTTCAGGTTGTTTCTTTTCCTTTACCTCTGTATTAGTCAGGGTTCTCCAAAGAAACAGAACCAGTAGAATGAATATGTATGTATAGATATAGATATAGATATAGATATAGATATAGATATA